AGATTCCCCTCACACATATGTCCTAGTCGTTCCCGATTCTAGGGGGTGCTGCTCATCTCCATTTCAAAGCCGAAGAGCCAGTGCTGTCCAAAGACGTCTCTGTGGTCATGTGGCCAGCATGACTAAATGCCGAAGGCGCACGGAACGCTGTTCCCTTCCCACCAAAGATGGTTCCTATTTTTCTACTTCCATTTTTTACATGCTTTCGAACTGCTAGGTTGGCAGAAGCTGGGACAATTAATGGGAGCTCACTCCGTTACACTAGCGAATGTAACGGCGCTAGGGATTCGATCGGCTGAACTGCCGACCTTTCTGATCGACAAGCTCAGCGTCTTAGCCACTGAGCCACTGTGTCCTTGTCCTTAGCATACTGATAAGTATTAGAAGGGAGAACAAAGTTCCACATAAACCTGAAATGAATCTGCAGATCTCTTCAGAACAGTTGAAGATAAATGGAGCATCGTTCTAGAACACAGGGGATATTCGCAAAGGGACTGGACCTTTAAATTGTTACCCCCGGTTAGCAGCTCAAGGAGTCCCATGGCCGACACCTTCACAACTGCCACAGTCATTCTGCTGCTGGCACTGAGTCCTGCTTGGCATTCCCATTTACTTACAGTGTGACACCGGCTGACCATATGTCCACTTTGAAGCCAGAAAAGGTATCAAGGCCGTTGGCAATTTCTGGAGGCTGAAAAGCTGGTGACCCTTGGCTGGTTCGGCACACGTCGTCCTCAGCAAATGGGTGCAAGGCCTGTGAGGAAGCAGGTAACAAAGAGGCATTGCTTTGAGGGTGAAGGCATGTAGGTCTTCAGCAGCAACTGAAAAATTGGGGGCAGTTGTGGGTTGCTTTTTTAAAAAAATGATTATTTCAGCAGCAGTCATAACGTTGCTCAACTGGGCAATATCAAACTTTCCCCTTTTTAAAAAAAAAGAAATATTAAAGGGGAGATTAGCATTTTAAGGGCCTAACCGAAGAATAAAACCCATTTTATTTGTCACTGAAAACCAGTGGGAAATCCACACAGCGAGTGTTCTGCAATTGACTATTGTGGTTCAGTTGTCTTATTTAGAGCAGGGTTGTGTCTGACCTTGGCAACTTTTAAGGTGGGTGGACTTTAATTCCCAGAATTCCTCAGCCAGCCATTCTGGGTGGGGAATTCTGGGAGTTGAAGTCCACAGGTCTTAAAGTTGCTAAAGTCGGAGACCCTTGATCTAGGGCGGGGGTGTCAATGACACGGGCCACGCTCACCCCAGCTCTGTGAAGAGGGAAAACATCTCGATAGGTCACAATACAGCAACATGGCACAGTGAGTTTCACACCCTTGATTGTAGGGGGTTCTGAGGGCCCCTTGCAGCCCCAGTAACTATCCCACTCGCCACGGTGTAGACTGGGAGTAAAACTGAATTTCTGCCTTACTCAGTAAAAAAAATGCTTCAGAGAAAGAATTAAGATGTAAATACTTGAAAGCAGTCACCACCCAACATCACCCTGACCTTAGAAAAGAGATTTGCCTCGGTTTGGCCAAATTTCTTGGGTTCTGGCTTTCAAAACAAACTGTTTGATGACTGAAGACAGCGGTCAATTGCAAAGCTTCAGGAGTTTAAGAATGGACATCGTCAACTTTGCCCTGTAATTTTTATAGTTTTCAGATATACTGCAATTCCCCCAACTTGCACCTTTCTGGCTGGCTGGGGAATTCTGGGAGTTGAAGTCCACCACTCATCTTAAAGTTGTTAAGGTTGAGAAACCCTACTGTACACATTCAGAGAAATAAATGCACAGTATAAAAAATGCCTTATCCAAGGGCCAAGCAAGGGCCAAGCAATCTGAGCCAGCCAACAGCAGGGCAAAGGCCCACAGCTGAGGGTTATCTTAAGATTTCCAAAGCAATTATTCTAGCCAAATACTCACTTTAACCAAAAGAAAAAAAAAAAGCCCCTGAATTTTAAGATTATTTCCCGTCTCCTACATCAGAGGGAAAAATAGCAATATAGCATATAGCATGGGTCCCCAACCCCCACTATCGGACCGTCGGCTGTTCAAAACCGGGCTGCCCGAAGCAGTGGCCGAGCGTATGTGCATTTCCCCTTGCATGACCAGTGGATGAGCGAATGCATGGATGCTCCATTTGCACGAGTGGTGGGTATGCCTGCATGCCACTTGTGCGAATGGAGTTGCTTGCAAGTGAACACTTGCCTGCCGCTTGTGCAGAACCATCCCCTCCCTCCCCCTGCGCTGGTCCATAGAGCTGGAAAGCTTGGGGAACTTTGGCATATAGCAAACAGCGATGGAGCATAAGCAAATAGCTCCACTGTATTTTACAGCACCCTCTGAGCAGTTCAGAGTCGTCATATTACCAACAATAATCTGGGTCGTTTTACTGACCTCAGAAGGATGGAAAGCCGAGTTAATCTTGAGCCGATCAGAATCAAACTCCTGGCGGTGGGCAGAGTTACCCTGCAGTACTGCACTTTAACCACTGACCTCCCATTTTAAATATTGGTGGTAAACTAATGTTTTCAGTGGATGCTGCAGTCAAGCTGCAGCTAGCATGCTGTAAAACCGGCATGAAATCCAATGATCCTTCCAGTTAGAACTGTGCTGCCCAAAAGAGCCACAATGCGATGCGTCCAGGAAACCCACATGTGTTCTACACGGGTGGTGCATGGTTAGAATGCAATACCTGCAGGCTAAGTTAGTGCTCACTCAAAGAGCTCAATCCTGCCGGCTCAGGTTTGACTCAGCCTTCCATTCAGTAAAATGAGGACCTCAATTGTTGGGTGGGATTCAAACATTTTAGCAACCGGTTTTCTGCCCAGTTGCTGGGTGGGCGTGGCCAGCGTGGGCGTAGCTTACTTGGCCTCCTGCATCATTAGGGGAGAGGGAATTTTCACCCTCCCCGGGCTTTTCTCAAGCCTCCAGGAGGGTGAAAACGGCCTCCCNGAATGCTCCAACACTGGAAGTTTTAAAGAAGATGTTGGATAACCAATTGTCTGAAGTGGTGTAGGGTTTCCTGCCTAAGGAGGGGGTTGAACCAGAAGACCTCCAAGGTCCCTTCCAACTCTGCTATTCTAATCTATGTTTGATCAGATCATGTCCTGTCCCAATGATTTGATGGCCAAGTGAAACGGCTACTAAGTGAAGACACAATGCAAAGATGGAGATGCCGCCAAGATAAACTGGTCCCTATCTCTTAATTTCCTACAGTATCTTGCACCTGACCTGTTATTTTCCTTTCATTTGACCCCTCACAGGATAGAGAGGTTGCTTAAACAAGCTGCCTCTCCCTGGGACGATTTTCTTCACAGCACAAGGCCTCCCCAAAGCGGAATGGAACAACTCGCCATGGCCAGCTTGCCACCAATTCGCCATGTCCAACTTCCAATGCTCAACTTGCAGCGGGACAACTCAACATCGGCAACTTGTCATGGAGCCCCTTGCTGCGGGACAATTCAACAATTCAATGTCATGATTTAAAATAATTTTTAAAATATTTTCATTTTTGCCACTCCCTCTTCATTTTGTCCCTCCTTTGGCATTCTTTCTTTAAGGATTCTGTCCACTCTTTCTTCGATATTAGTGCAACTCTTGTCCCGTGGCGAACTGTCCTACGTTAAGTTGGTCCCGGCGAGTTGTCCCGCACGGAGTTAGTCCGCACGGAGTTCGAATTGTCCACAGCAACTTAGCTGCGACAAGTTGGCTGCAGTGAGTTGGCGATGGCCAGTTGGCTGTGGGGAATGGCTGTTGATCCACGCCAACCACAAGTTTAGAAACTCAGTTTCATGATTTTAATTAGTCAATTTGAACCCTCCTACGATGACCAGATCTTTTTTTTTTCACATTGAAGGGTTTTCCTGTCAGGCACACAAAATTTGGTTGCAAATGTGAGGACAGGTAGGAAAATGAAATTTTTTAAATTACAGTTTATTACAGTCATCTTGGCCACATTTGCAGCTTTTTGTAGCCTCCTGCAGTCCTGTGACCACATTTAGCTCTAGTTTCTCTGAAAACCAGAAGTTGCTTCCGCTGTGGAGCTGAAGTCCACGCAAAGATGCCGAGGTTGGGAAACGTGGCCTTAGAAGAGCTCTACTGTGGTTTTTAGATTTGGAGATGGTCCATCATCTGCTTTGCATGCAGAAGGTTGGGATCTGGCTCTGGACATTTGCCAGTAAGAGGATCTTAGATAGTAGAGGCAGGGAGAATTCCTGCCATCACTCATAAACAACACTGGATGACGGACGCCTGTCAGTATAGAAGGCATCTCACTGTGGAAAGATGAAACATCATTAGAAACCAGAGAGGGACATGTGGAAATAAGGAAGACAAAAAACCAGGAAATCCAGATCTTCGTAGGGAAAATTCAGTACGGGAGCCCAAAGGAAGGATATATTTTTTGCTTCTCTTCATTGTATAACACGTCAACTAGCTGGATCACATTTTTGTGCCGCAACCGCCGTAGGAGTTGTATTTCCCTGGAAGGGGGGAAAAAAGAGAGGAAAATGTATTGGCGAAGAGACGAGCCCAGTGGCAAAAATACAGTAAAGTTCCTCTCTAGGAATGAAATTATGTTATGTTGAATTGCTTATTGCACAGAGAAACATATATAGGTAGTCTTTGACTTACAACCATTCATTTAGTGACTGTCCAAAGTCACTAAACGAATGGTTTTAAGTCAAGGAATATATGTATGTGCATATGTATATACTATATATAACTCGTTTACGAGCCCCACCCACCACCCAGGCCGTTATAACACAAAACAATAATGGACACACAGCCAGCACCAATCTACCAATCATGATACAACCACATAACCAATCATTCCACTTACTGAAACAACGCCAGCACTCCACACCCACCCACCAAGATTTATAGAAAGACGGCAGCTCCGACCACGCTTTAAGCCCCAAACCCAGCCTGAAGATGGCGAGTGAGACCTCGCCGAAACGTTGCCAAGGCTTTGTTGCTGTAAGCGGGTTGGTTGGCTGTGTTGTTACATCTTTATTTATTTATTTATTTATTTATTTATTAGACTTATATACCGCTTCATAGGGCTTTCAGCTCTCTCTAAGCAGTTTACAGATTTTTTAGCAAATTGAGTCAGCANTGGCGAGCGTGGTCACCTCATGTGTTGCAATATTTCCAGGGAGGGCTTATTTTCAGGGGAGGGCTTATTTTAGTGCATGTGCTCAAAAGCCCAATTGGGCTTATTTTCCGAGGAAATCTTATTTACAGGGAAACAGGGTAGATACATACATACATACATACATACATACATACATACATACATACATACATAATTAACAGCAGGATACAAATAAATCAATAAAATAATCTCAAAGCATCTGATCAACCACCTCACTGGAGTCAAGATGGCCTGGAAACTAAACTGGCTTAGATCCAGCCACTGCTTGAACCCAAGACTGCGTGGGAAGCATGTGGATTTTCCCTTCACTTCAACAAGAGGAGGAAAAAAACCCTGAACTGCAAGTAATAGTTAAGTTCCCCTTCTCGTGATGATCAGAGATGATCATGAACCACCAGTCCAGTTTCCCTATTTCCACAGTGAGGCTTCCTCAGCGAATGGGAGTGATGGGAACTGGGAAGCACGCATGCTACTTACCCGTGCGCTTGAAAGACTGGAAACTTTTTGTCAGGAACGCTGTCCAACATCTCTTGCATGCCACAGACACAATACTCCATCACCATATACGTGAGAAACAGTTAAGGAAGTTCCTGGGATGGGACTTAAAAGAGAGAAACCTGCCTTCCACTGGTTGACAGTATTTCAGCATCTAAGGCCACTCAAGTCTACGCTAAACCGTTCTCAGCTCAAGAGGCAGGAGAACCATCTGTCCCAACACCTCCTCCACGGATCCATTTTTAACTGGAGCCGTTGTGATTGACACAAGGGACTTTCTGAATGCAAAGGAAGAACTCGACGTTGTAAATGGATTATGGACGCTCTCCAAATAGCCCAGGCCAACGGAAAGAAACTATGTTTATGTTTATTTAATTTGTATGCCGCCCCACTCCCGAGGGACTTGGGGCGGCTAACAACCAAAAGGGCGGAGGGGATACAAATAAGACAAAAGACAGACAAAGTAAAAACAACAGCAGTCACAACTACAGTAATCTTGAACATATGTAAAGATTGTTTGTGTGTGTGTGTGGGGGGGGGTGTTAGAGAAGAAGCATGTATGGGAATTCTAATCCAAATATATGGAAGGTGGCTGATTAGAGGAAACCAAAATAAACAGTGCTAATTCTTCTAACATTATGGAGGTAGTCCTCGACTTACAACCATTCATTTAGTGACCATTCAAAGCTACAACGGCATTGAAAAAAGAGATTCAAAGCTACAACACCATTGAAAAAAAGAGATTCATGACAATTTCCCACATTTATTTAACTGTTGCAGCATCCTCATGGTCACGTGATCAAAATTTGGATGTTTGGCAACTGGTTCGTATTTATGACGGGTGTAATCACTTTTTGACCTTCGGCAAAGTCAATGAGGAAGTCAGATTCACTTAACAACCGTGTTAGTAACTGAACAACTGCAGTGATTCACTTAACCGCTGTGGGAAGGAAGGTTGTAAAATGGGGCAAAACCCACTTAACAACTTAGCAAGAGAAACTATGACCTCAGTTGTGGCCGTAAATTGAGGACTGCCTTTAATTATAATTTGTTCTTGGCTATAAAAGGTGGTAAAGGAACAGACTTTAAATTTCTTTATCTATTTTTTACAGACAAAGCAATTAAAGTCTCGGGTGGGGCCAGGGGTGGGAAGGAATGTCATGCTATCAGCAAATTAGAGGTTATACCCTCTCCTCATTTAGCGATTGGTTGCACGAACGGTTGCAGGTACTGGATATGTCTGGTTTAATGAAAAGAAGGACTAGGGGAGACATGATAGCAGTCATCCAATATTTGAGGGGTTATGACAAAGAAGAGGGGGTCAATTTATTCTCCAAGGCACCCGAGGGCAGGACAAGAAGCAATGGGTGGAAACTAATCAGGGAGAGAAGCAACCTGGAACTGAGGAGAAAATTCCTGACAGTTAGAATAATTAATCCGTGGAACAACTTGCCTCCAGAAGTTGTGAATGCTCCAACACTGGAAGTTTTAAAGAAGATGTTGGATAACCAATTGTCTGAAGTGGTGTAGGGTTTCCTGCCTAAGGAGGGGGTTGAACCAGAAGACCTCCAAGGTCCCTTCCAACTCTGCTATTCTAATCTATGTTTGATCAGATCATGTCCTGTCCCAATGATTTGATG